GGAAGCCGGTTTCGACTTTTAGGATGATAGCACGTAGGGCCCAAAAAAAAAAAAAACGATATCGGGTCGCTTAATGTCTAAAACGAGCTGCAATTTGCAGAAAAGTAGTAGTCGACCTTCGGGACATCCGTTAAAATTGGAACGATACAGAGAACCTAGACAAGATTAGCATGGCCCCTGCGCAAGGATGACACGCATAAATCGAGACATTAAAAAAAAAAAAAAAAAAAGAAGTAGGAGTAATGATAAAAAAGAAATAGTAGGGAGGAGTAATAAAGATTTAAAAAAAAGGAAAATAAGGAACAGGGATTATTACGCGATGGCCATAACGAGCACACGAAGACGAGGGGACTGTTATCTTCTATATGTGTCTTGGGGCAAACAGAAAGTCCGCAAATGGGACCAGGTACACGAATCATCCAGGCATTTCGCTCTGCATCTGGCATTGGAATCCGTCTACGTGCGTTGTTTGGTTTTGATTGCATTTGGACAAACAGAAAAATCCGCAAATGCGACCAGGTGCACAAATCATCCAGGCATTTTGCTCTGCTTGTGTCGCATGGGAATCGGTCTACATGCAGTGTCTGATTTATGGGTGCGTTTGTTGCAGTTGCGGACGAACAGAAAAGTACGGAAATGGACCAGATACAGGAACCATCTGGGCAATTTGTTCTGCATCTGGCATCGGAATCGGTCCATGTGCGTTATCTGATTCTGAAGTGCATTTGCGGTTAGCGTGCTACTCGAAGAGACCGCCTAAATGCGTCCCTCCTCTCAACCAGATGTAGGGTCGTCATCCCCTCCATGTAGACCGATTCCCGTGCCAGATGCAGAGGAAATAAATGCCTGTGTCCATCACTCGTGCACATAGACATGATTCTTTGAAACTCGTCTTCGTCTCCCCTTGAGGAAGGATGGGAGGTAGCGTTGGTGATCAGCTGACGTGGCACACTGGTGCCAGCTAGGATAGGCTGAGAGATACGAAAGGGGTTCTGGATAAGGTAGTAATCTCATGTGATATGTGCAGTGGGAGGAAGTCATGGGTGGTTGAAGAGGGGAGAGAGAGAGAGAGAGAGAGAGAGAGAGAGAGAGAGAGAGAGAGAGAGAG